AATAATTGAGTTCAGTTTGACGGGGTTTCCCAAAATGAGGAAAGTTAGGGTAATGAATATAAGGGGCACAAACTGGGCAGGTATCGAAAACATCATAATTGACTACTGCCCAGGAAGGCTAGATACGAATGAGGATATTGAACGGGAAGCGATAATGCTTCAAGAAATAATGAAAGAAGCCTGTATGAGGTTTATACCTAGGTGTGAGAGGGTGATCGATGTGGAAAGAGAATGGTGGAGCAGGGAGCTCGTGACTATGAGGAAGCAAGTAAGGAGGAAAAGGAGAGAAGCTCAGGGAATAAGGGATGAAGACGCAAGAATGAGAGGAATGAATGACTACAGAACGACAAGAAACAGGTATAAAAGAATGATAGGGAATGCAAGAATAGCCTGGTTGAGGGAGAGGGTGGAGCGGCTCCACCCTCGAATGTCGTAAGAGGGGATGGAACCTACACCGAAGGGAAGGAAGAAACCAGTAGGTATCTATTGAATAAGTACTTCCCTAAGGACGACCCCTCAAATGACACACCAGCCAGACGAGGGATTAGGGTAGGAGCAATGGGAGAATGGGGAGAAAGGCAGCCGTCCTTCTCGGTCGGGGAGCTGCGCACAGTTGTTGAGCAGCTGGGGGTCCCTAACGAGTTATCCGTAAGGTGACCGAATGGAAGGGAGACTGCCTGGTTAAAATATTCAACGCCTGCCTGAATAGAGGGTACTTCCCGGAGGTATGGAAAGAAGTACGGAAACCCCAGACCTATCAGCTTGCTGACTGGAATGGGACGTACGTTAGACAGGCTTCTAAATGGTAGAGTGGAGAGGTGCATGAAGCGAATGGGGACGCCGGGTAATGTGGGGATGACGTGTTTGAGTTTCATAGGTAGGAGAACGGCTACCTGCGGGCAGGTCTCTGAGATGGTGCACAGAGGCTGCCCTCAGGGGTCTAGCCTAGGACCTACACTATGGTTGGTAGTGATGGAAGCATGGTTCGAGCGAATCAGAGACATGAAAGTGAGAGAAGGCATCGGAACATACGGAGTATACACGCAGGCCTACGCGGATGACCAACTAGTCATCATCGAGGGAAACCTTGTCAAGGACATAGAACGGAGGTGGGAGCTGGTATGGAAAGAATGTAAAGAAGGGGAAGACGAGATGTGGCTGGAATATATCGACTCGAAAACAGAATGTATGTACATACCAGCCAGGAGGGATGAGACTCCTGGTCATAAATATGAATGGAAGAGTGATTGAGCAGAGCATGAATGTGAAGTACCTGGGAATTGTGGTGGATACTGGATTATTATTCATAGACCACCACAAAATAAGGAAAAAACTGAATACGCTAGCGGGTAAGTTAAGAAGATGGACCGGGAGAGACGTTGGACTAAGGAGAGAATGTGTGAGAATAATATACGAGAGAGTGGCAGAACCTGCGATCATGTTTGGAGTACAAGTGTGGGGGGGTAGAACGCATGATAGCCGAATCAGGAGACAACTGAGCGCGGCGCAGAGGCTCTTCCTAATCGCTTCATGTGGAGCGTATAGGACGGTGCCATCGGCTGCGCTCTGTGTTATCTCAGGTATGGCACCGCTTCATGTGGAAGCGAGCGCCAGACACCATGAGTGGAGGGTGAATGGGAGAAGAAAGAGAGAAGATAGGGTGGAAGGAGAGGATAGAATACTCCCATGGATGCAAGGAATGTTGCTGGAGGAAAGGGAGGACGAGAGTGTGATGAGGGTGTATGTGGATGCTGGAGTAAAATTGGAAGAAGAACGAATGGGCATAGGCTGGGCATACGAACTGGAGGAAAATGAATGGGTACAGGGTAATGAAAGAATCCCCGGACAGAGCAGTGTGAATGAGGCAGAACTGGTTGCGATCGAGAGAGTGATAGGTATGTGGGATATGAATGGGAGTGTAACTGTGGTAAGTGATTCTGCCATGTCTGTGGAACGTCTGAAGGCAGGAAGAACGAGGAATAAGAGGGTAGCGCGTATACAGAGGATGATAGAGGAGAGGAAAATGAGAGAAGCGCGGACCTGGTTAATCTGGAAGCGCGGCCATGAGAATAACAATCTTGGTAATAGAAAAGTTCACGAGAAGGCAACAAGGGGAATGAGGAGAACGGAGATTACATGGGAAGTAGTGAGAATAGGGAGTAAGAGTGAAGAGAGGAAGAGGAACAAAGAACGAATCAGGATAGATTGGCAGAGGGAATGGGACACGGGAGAGACTGGGCGGCTGTTCTACAGATTCTGCAGGACAGTCGGGAGTGAATCACTGAATCTGTTGCGGAAGGCCACCCAGCTGCTTACGGAACATGGTAATTTTCCGAGACACCTTGCCAGGTTTAACCTAGGCCCAGAAGTGCCATGTTTCTGCGGCTATGGTGAGCCCGAAACAGCGGAACATGTGATAGAAAGATGTATGGATGGAGACAGGATTGGGTGGTGTGAATGGAGAGAATATAAGGAGCGGGAAAATGGGGAGATAACACTGAGAGGAGAGAATGGAAAGAACGGTGAATGGATAAGGTTTTTTAATGAATGGGCGGAGAGTGTGGTAAGGGATGAAAGAGAAGGGTAAAGAGCAGGCTGTTACCTTGGTGCCAAAAACTGGAGTGCCGAGGACTTGGACTGCTGGCGGCGGTCTCCCCAATGGTGGCGACCATGGATTATGTTCGGGCATTCAAGCAATGTACAGAAAAAGAAGAAATGTTTTAGTTGAACTATCATGATATATTGTATTTAGTTTGATTGATTATTTTGTATATAAATGTATTGTTAATGATATTATTGAAATAAAGAAAAGGGTTTTCTACCCCGCTAATTTGAGGGAGCATGGGTTCTCGTGGCGGTGGTTTCGATAGATAGAGGCAAGATGCTCCACTGAAAGGCCTTCGGCCAGGACAATATTGAGCGATGGCACTATTCATGTCCATAATGCTTTGCATCGCAGTCCTAACATTCAATTTCGTAAATTCCAGACTTTTCCGAATTCTCGACTTTGTCTTGTTTTAAAAACCACCTTCATACCTACTTCCTTGAAAATCTTTCCAAAGTTCTTCGTATATTGGTAGTATGGAACTGAGATGTATTTATCTTGGTTTTTGTCCTTTCTGAAAGTTGGCATTTCGTTCATTCTTCACCTAAACTTCTTCTTCCTTATTATGTCATCTACAATACCCTTTGAGAAACCGTTAGTGGCTGCTGTTACCTGTATTGTACGTTTTTCTTTTTTGAACCTATTATGTGTTAGAGGGAAAGTCAAAAGACGATGCACTAAAAAATTCAACCCAGCACGTTTGTCCTGGAATATACCTGTACGTGCTTGTTTCTTTTCTAAATATTCTATTCCATACTGGCTCCTCATTTCCAAAACGTCAAGAAATGGTAGTTGTCCCTTATTTTCTAACTCACACGTGAATTTTATTGATGGACATCTATTATTTAAAAGGGAAACGAAGTCTTCAATATTCGATTTTTTGGTATCGAATATCGCGAAAATATCGTCCACATACCTTAGCCAAATCCTAGGGAAATACTTTGACTTTTTTTGGTTTCCATTTCGAATCTGCTCATGAACAGGTCTTCCAGGTACGGGGACATGGGGTTTCCCATGACCGTTCCTTCCTGTTGTTCATAAAAGCAACCTTCTACCTGGAACCGATTTTGTTTCATACACAAATTAGTAAGAGAAACGAATTCATCGATTTCGTGTTTATTGAAATTATTTTTCTCTAGTAATTTCCTGAGGTATTGCAAGGTCAGTGGAATTGGGACGCTAGGAAATAAGGAACTAACATCAAAAGAAACCAAAATCCCACCTTCTTGCAGAACAATGTTTTTTGTATGTTGTATGAACTCTAAAGAGTTTTTTATACTAAAACTCGGTTTTGCAATAGACAAGCTCCAATACCTGACACGATAGGGGGCCTAAATTTATTTTACAATGTGGCTTTACGTAATAGTCAGGTAAATCTGATAATTGAAATATTATTTAAACAAGTTATATAGTATACTGTTAGGTATTTGTCCACCACCGTTATCCATAATATTATTATGTTTACTTATTTCTACACTCTCGTAGACATCTAGATGCATGTTGTTGTTAACTTGTCTAACTAATCTCAATTGAATGGTTTTTTTGCAAAATATGGTGGGCGACTGTTGATTTTTCTGGTCTTCCATATTAAAGGTGTACTAAATATTCCTGACATCTTATTTTGATAGATATTTTAGTCTTTCCATAATATTTTGCATCGCAGTCTTTACATTTAATTTCGTAAATTACAGACTTTTTCAAATTCTCGACTTTGTTCTTTGGATTTCCTAAAAGGCTTTGCAGTGTATGACTTGTTTTAAAAACCATCTTCATACCTAGTTCTTTGAAAATCTTTCCAAAGTTCTTCGTGTATTGGTGTTATGGAACTGAGATATATTTAACCTGGTTTCATACTACTAATACATGAAGAACTTTGGAAAGATTTTCAAGGAACTAAGTATGAAGGTGGTATTTGAAACACGTCATACAATACAGAGCCTTCCAGGAAATCTGAAGGACAAAGTCAAGAATTCGGAAAAGTCTGGAATTCACGAAATTGAATGCAAGGACTGCGATGCAAAATATCATGGACAGACTAAAAGATCTATTAAAATAAGATGTAAGGAACACTAAGCATACCTAAAATATGGAAGACCAGAAAAATCAGCAGTCGCCTATCATATTTTGCAGCAAAACCATTCCATAGACTAGTTCATTAAGATCAGTATATATGGGATAAATGAGGATAACATTGTATGTATATCAAGTTTAATCTTCGTCTTGAAGATGATCACTTGCTGATCGAAACACGTGTCGAGGTGTTAAAATAACGGTTTGATGTTGGGAAAAATCTCCAGTAATATTCATCACTACACCAAAGGTTCCAAACAGTGCATCACCATTACTAATATAAATAAAGGAATTTCATCAATATTAGATACTTGTTGAAACTTACCCATTACTTGAAATGCATACATTGCTGGTTTGAATTCTCCTAGGTAATAAGAAAACTTCACTGGTAAGTCAGCCTTTGAAATCGCTGGTATCAAACAGTACATTAAAATAGTTATGAAGCAGATCAACAGGTATCCGTTGCCTAGAAATATTCAAGACACTAGGACTCTGTTGTGCGTACGTACTGTCATCGTGATAAGAGTTGAATTGTTCTTTCAGTGTTATCCAAGACGGTGCTGATAAAATTATAAGACAAGTAGTGTCTTTTCCCGAAACTTCGAAACAGGATGGAAGTGTTCCATATGAATGATATTTCATATCAAGACTTTTATATAACACATTGTGTAGCGTTTCTACGAATGATATTAACTTCTATTCATAATACTAATTTTTTTCTTTCTTTCTTTGGAAGTTTCCCATAGAAAGTCATAAAGTTTTCACCCCCTCCTAAAAAAAGCCCATGCTAATGAGTTTTAGCCAAATGCCGCAATTTGTAAGTGGTGTACGTGAGAATCTTGAAAAAATGACAACACAATTACGGCAAAACTCGGAAGTTAATCAAAACATTGACGCCAGCTGTGAAAGCCTACATTTCTATATAACTGCTATTGCAGTTATATAGAATCATTAGAAATAAAAATTATGAAAAATTATCTTAATGGTCCTCATTTGCTGGAAATATTGTTACAAAAGTTATCCTACTCAATGCAGATATCTTGGAGCCAGGAAATATCGAGTACCACCTTGGGAGGGATGGCTGAAATACGACGGAGGGGAAGGATCGAAGGTTCGAACCTGGGTTCGTACCTCCGTTGAAAGCTTAGCTCTTAGGAATGCAAGGAGCGTGAATGGAGTGGGTGTAATGATAGGACAAGAGAGAAAGAGGATACGTATTATGAATGTGTATGACGAACCAGGAGGAAGAAGGAATGCAAGGATGGATGTGATGAGGAGAATATTTGATGAATGGGAAGGGAAAAAGATATTGCTAGGAGATGTGAATGCTAAGAATGTGGCGTAG